TATCATAAGGATCCCCTGAACCCTGAACCCTGAACCCTGAACCCTGAACCCTGAACCCTGAACCCTGAACCCTGAACCCTGAACCCTGAACCCTAAACCCTAAACCCTAAACCCTAAACCCTAAACCCTAAACCCTAAACCCTAAACCGCCGCAGACCTCCGGCAGGAATCTAACACCTGCGGTTGGAAGCTGGACTATCCACGTGGCGCCACCATCTTTACTGGCATGGAAGTTGCCACACCGCATTGCTGCAAGTCTTCGGAATTCGGAGCTTCTGCTTTAATCAGACTCCTAGCAAAATACAGCGCCCTGGGTCCTGAAATAGCCCTGAACCCTAAACCCTACTTAAACCCTAAACCCTAAACTTAAACCCTAAATCCTAAATCCTAAGCCCTGAAACCTCAAACCCTGAACACCTGGCCAGCCTCTACCGCAGGCTTTGGCAGCTTCCGCCCGAAGCGCTCCTCCAGGCGGACCTGCGCCGGCGTCATCGGTTTAGGGTTTAGGGGTTAGGCTTTAGGGTTATAGGGTGTAGGGTTTAGGCTTAGGGTTTAGAATTTAGGGATTAAAGTTTAGGGTCTAGGGTTTAGGGTTACAAGTGCGCTAAAAAAGATTATAAGTAAAGTTGACATACTTAAAACCCTGCTTTAGTTGCCTAATGAACCTCCAAGTACGGTAAGGCCTACAGGGCCTTTGGCTTTTGGGGCTCAGGGCTTCGTACCCTAAACCCTAACCCTTAACCCTGAACCCAAACCCTAAACCCGGAACCCTGATCCCTAAACCCGGAACCCTGAACCCCAAACCCTGAAACCTGAACCCGGAACCCTAAACCATAAACCCCAAACCCTAAACCCTGGACCCTAAACCCCAAACCCCGAACCTTGAACTGAGCTGAAGCGGCCTTTCCACTGACGACCGCCGGGCGCGGCTCGACCTTCACCTGCTCGGCTTCGGCCTGACATGTGCAGGGCTACGGGGGGTTTAGGGTTTAGGGTTTAGGGTTTAGGGTTTAGGGTTTGGGGTATGTCAGGGGAGGGCGCGCGCGCGCGCGCGCGCTCGGGTGTGAAACACCCTGGGCCGCGCGCTCGCGTTGCCCGTCAAACCACCCCGGCCACCCAAACTATGCTCTCTTGGGGTTTAGGGTTTATTGAGTTGATTTGCTCATGCACCGATGCTTGTTACTGTTTTTTGAAAGTTGCCGTCTTCCGAGGGCTTGGACTTAAGGGCGTAGGGTGATATAGGGGTCGGAAATAATTACTAATAGCATCCCCTTGAGGTTTTTCCTATAATAACCCCCAGAACCCTATTCTAATCATAAAGACCCTAAACCCTAAACCCTAAACCCTAAACCCTAAACCCTATAGTAAGGGGTTTCTGGGTTTACAGGGGAGGTTTCGGCTTGAGGGAGAGCAGGACTGTGGGCTTGCACCGCTGTAAAGCCTTAGGGAAGATGGTTTCAGATGTTGGGCTTAGGGTTTAGGGTTTCGGGTTTCGGGTTTCGGGTTTAGGGTCTAGGGTCTAGGGTTTAGGGTTTAGGGTTTAGGGTTTCGGGTTTCGGGTTTAGGGTCTAGGGTTTAGGGTTTAGGGTTTAGGGTTGCGGGTTTAGGATCTAGGGTTTAGGGTTTAGGGTTTCGGGTTTAGGGTCTAGGGTTTAGGGTTTAGGGTTTAGGGTTTCGGGTTCAGGGTCTAGGGTTTAGGGTTTAGGGTGTAGGGTTAAGGTTTTAGGGTACGAACGAGTGAGGAACAACCTTTTTCAGTCTGTGGGCTAATCCTGCAAAAAACGAAAAATCGAACCAGTCAATCCCTCCAAGCATTCATGTTTTCACACTAAATACTTCAGCGCTTTTAGTGTTAAACTTGCTTCTATGCAACGATGAGCATTGCAACCAAGAAACGTTCTACATGTACTGTTTCAGACTCAGCATGTCTTCTACCCTACCCCAATTTATCGCGCCTGCCAGTATTTTCCTTGTTGCTCACACAACTACCTCATGTCACACCAAGCATGCTCCCATAGCGCTTCCAGCAACGACACAGCTAGCCCACCTCTCTGCGGGGCAAACGTGGGTGACGCATCCATAGCTAACCCGAAAACCTCAAACCTAGGGCCCTGCCAACGTAACTGAAGGCCTAAACCCTAAACCCTAAACCCTAAACCCTAAACTCTAAACCCCTAAACCCTAAATTCTAAACCCGAAACCCTAAACCCTGAACCCTAAACCCTGCCTCTTCAAAGGGGTCTGTGCGAGTGGCCGTGACCCGTTTCGAGGCAATGCTGCCCGGAGGCGCGGGAAGCACCTCGAGGCGAGGCTGGGGGCTGGGAGGGGTTTGGGGTTTAGGGTTTAGGGTTTAGGGTTTAGGGTTTAGGGTTTGGGGTTTGGGGTTTGGAGTTTGGGGTTTGGGGTTTGGGGTTTGGGGTTTGGGGTTTGGGGTTTGGGGTTTGGGGTTTGGGGTTTGGGGTTTGGGGTTTGAGGTTTGAGGTTTGAGGTTTGGGGTTTGGGGTTTCGGGTTTCGGGTTCGGGGTTTGGGGTTTGGGGTTTGGGGTTTGGGGTTTGGGGTTTGGGGTTTGGGGTTTGGGGTTTGGGGTTTGGGGTTTGGGGCTATGTGGGGTTAAGGGGCTTTGTAGGGTTTAGGGGCTTTGTAGGGTTTAGGCTTAGGGTTATAGGGTTCCCTCGAAACCCATGATCCGCTAGCCTGCGACAACATAGGGGCCCGTTGAGTAATCGGAATGGGTCTTTTAGCCTGTTGACGTGAAGAATATTTGAAGATGATCTGCACCCGCTAGTGAAAAAACTCCGGGCACTGAACAAATCTACATCTTGCCCCAGATGGATTGCAGCAGTTGACGTAACTATACTTCTGCACTATACTTCTGCAGGACTCACATGAGCAAACAATCGGAATTCTTCAGGCTGTCGTACTAAACCCTACACCCTAAAGACTGAACTCCATGACTAGGATGGCCCTGACGGCCCTCTGAAGATAATCTGTTCTAAGGGCCTAATATAGAATAAATAAGAATAGGGTTTGGGGAGGTACTATAGTATAATTAAAAAAGCTATTGGTAAATATTCCGCCCCCTATATTACATGGGTTTCCGGTTTGGGGTTTACGAAAATATGGGACCCAGAATGCTCACCCTACACAGTAGGATTCTCATTTCATAAGGACCCCAATAAGGTACCCCTAATTTCGAAAACCCTAAATCCTAAACCCTAAACCCCCAACCCTAAACCCTAAACGGGTCCAGCAAAGGGCCTACTGAGATGAAGCCCTCCCTACGCGCCGCAAAGCCCCCACCTCGATCTTGAGATCCAGGTGCCGGCAGATGGCCGCAATCTCTTCGCAATCCTGGCTCGGTTTACACCCCGAAATTTAGGGTTTAGGGTTTAGGGTGGAGGGTTTAGGGTTAGGGTTTAGGGGTTTAGGGTTTGGATTTTAGGGTTTGGGTGTTCAAGGGACAGTGGGTTTAGGGTTTGAGGGTTTAGGGTCTGTAGGGACTCTAAACACTAAGCCCTGGCTCAGTTCAGGGATTTCAGGGCTTCCGGGGCGGGGAGCGGGCGTCGGGGATTGTCGCTGCTTTGGGATGAGGAACTTCAGGGCTTAGGGCAAACATCTTCTGAATGAATACAAGGGCCCCTCATTGCAAGTCATAAAAGGGGAATTCTTAAACAATAGCGCCCGCAGAATCGAAACTTTCAGACTTCGCAGAAGGGTGGGTAACGGTCCTAAATTGGAGTCCTAAACGGTTTAGGGTTTCGGGTTTCGGGTTTAGGGCAAGGGACTAACGAGGACCCTTACACGGGACCTTAAAGGTTCCATTGGCGCTACTTGGGTATATAGGAACCCCATAACGTAGGATGTATGGATAAAATACTTAGGAGGATATATAGGGGAAGAAGATTAAGGGTCCCTTCTAGGGGTCCCTCCTTACATCCCTTAATGGAGGGAACATTAACGCGCGTTCTGGCGACAGGGATGTTGAGGCTCCAGGCGTTCTGCAGAACACTGCACAGGTCTGTCGTATCACGGGGTTTCGGGTCTAGGGTGCCCGCCCACAAGATGAGAAGCCCACCCCTTGCCCCCCAACCCTCAACCCAACAATCCCGAAGACGCCCCTCCCGCCCTCCCCCTGCCGGTCCTTCGCGTCCACATCTAGACCTGAGTATCGGATTATGAGATACGGCCACAGGGTTTAGGGTTTAGGGTTTAGGGTTTAGGGCAGGATCGAAGGTCTGCCTGGGACACTAGACGTTAAACCCTGAACCCGGGAAGCCTTATTTACTTAAACTTGGCAAAGCTCCGTGACCTCGGATCTTCTGCCGCGGCACTACTTGCTGACATCTACCCTAGACACTCCTAGCTTAGCACCCTGGGCCACAAAAGGTTAACCTTTCAATTGTGGTAGGAGTATATATATATAATTAAATAAATAAACATGTATAAATTTATTAAAATTTATCTATCTATCTGTATATTGATTTATTTGCATATATATATATATATACCTACTGAGCACTAAACCTCTGCAAGAGTCGCCAGACCAAGTTCCCTTAGTCGATATTTTAGGTAGAGGGAGGTGCTGGGCTCGACTTTGGAGATGTTTGGGGTTTAGGGTTTGGGGTTTAAGGTTTAGGGTTTAGGGTTAGGGTTGTCCAGTAACCTGGGGGGATTAAAGGCTAACCTTTGGGATTATAAGGGGATTATACTACCCCAAAAAGGTTAAAGGCTACCTGCTCTAAACCCTGGTCCATATAGCGTATTACTCCTATAGGCCCATAGAGGGTTTAGGCTTTACGATTCATATAGGATTTAGGGTTTAACGTATTACTCCTATAGGCCCCATGGAGGGTTTGGGGTTTATATAGGATTTAGGGCTTAGGATCTATTACTGTCACCCCAGCCCTTGGAGCCACAAGACTCCTTAGATCCATAAGCCTTTGCAATTGTTGGACATTACCCTCAGGGGTTATACGAACAACAACAAAACATAACCCCAAACCCTAGACCCTAAACCCTAAGCAAGGACGGGGGGAGTATCCCGACTCTACCTGGGACCCTCGTTACCTACAGTTTAGTTAGTAACTACCCCAGAAATAAGGCTCTTGTTGGCAGTGTTCAATAAACCCTAAACCCTAAACCCTAAACCCTAAATCCTAAACCCTAAACCCTAAACCCTAAACCCTAAACCCTAAACGTTTAGAAAGGATCCCCGAAGGGCATCAGCTAAACACCCACTTGCCGGG